ATGGTTATTATTTAATACCATGTAGTTATTTAATAAATACACAAGGACAACAAATAATTAATTTATCATTAACAAAACCAATTGATATTGTTAAACAACTACGTATACATTTTTATAAATCAATTGATCATGATACTATTGGTTTATAACAAATATCAATACATGGTTATTATGGGTGTGGGTGTGGGTGTCGAATTTCTCTGCAACTACCCGCACCCACACCCACACCCTTTAGCTTTCCAAGCTAGGGTAGGCTCGAGTCTACCAAGATCTCGTGACTCCGTCGCCTATTGATTAACCCTGTCGAATAGAATGGGTACTATGTTCAACAAAGACTTTTGCGACGACCCTTTCGAGCTATTTTTACAAGATATATTTTAGCGTTGTTCAAAAATCTGCTCAGTACCCAAAAACAGATTGTTCTATAATTCGTTTCGAACACATAGTTAGAAAGAGCTTTCAACGTAGATTCCGAGAATATGTTTTTGATTTTTCTAGAATATATTTTAGTCAATGAAAAATGAAGCGAAATCTTTTCAGAAACTTTTGTAACAGTTGTTATTTGAAAGAAAATTGTGTGATCTAGTTTTAATTGAAAATTATACAGTTCAAGACTTATGGCACTGTTTAACTTAGAACAAAATACTCTTTTTTCCATTATTTCACATAGATAACCTAGATAATAAAAAAGAGCAACGAAGATCACTTCCAGAAAAGTGATATATATCCTATGGATTTACGCGCAACTTAACAGTTTCGAATGACTTCTTGCTATATTTTCATTGTAAACAAACATTTATTAATGAAATCACATATAAATAAGTGGTTGTATATAATTTAATCGATAAATATTTGGATTCAAACACAAGTTGAAAGTCTTTTAATAATAAAAAAGATAGACTATCATCGACAAGAATTATTATTTGAAAGATGCGTATAAAAAAAGAAAACTTGGATTTGTGCTCACCTTCTACCGTAGAAGTTTCGGTTGTGCTATTTTCTTGTATGTGTAAAACAAAAAGCCATGTTTTTAGTTGTTTCTTTGCGTCCTCTCTCTTTGCATCATTCAATTTTCAAAGATTTCATGAGTCAATTTTAATGTTGGCATTATAACTCTTAGACAAAAATTACTGTTTGTCTTTTCTTTTCGAACAACCAACATGCAGAAATGAAGAAAAAAATGAGTTACTATTGTAAACTTGGTAAAGGCAGAAAAAAGGCATTCCAGACAGGTAAAAAGGTAGTAAAATGATTATTTTATCAGCAAGTGAAAGTTCACCATGAAACATCATTTCAATCCTTTCTCTATTAATAAATGCATATTATCAATATTTATTTATTTTCATACTCTTTTGTCGATTTTCAAGAAATGATTCACATATATGTAATTAATCACTTGAAAAAAAAAAAATTTCACCAATTCGCTAAAATGATTTATATAATTTAGTATGTTTGAGAATTATTAGATAAAATCGAGGATATCATATAAAATATCTTTTTTGACTATTTTCATCAAATGTTGTTTTACTTTATCATAGTTTTTGCAAAAGATCACTGCAATTGTTGAATCGACACAATTATTGGAAAGTGAAGTTTCTGTCAGCGAATCATTCTAAGCTATGTTTCATACTTCATTCGATAAGGTTATGATTATGTTAGACAGCTGAAATTCATACGAAAACGATCAAAAAGAAAGAATGTAGATAGCTCTTATTGGCAAATTAAGTAAACTTTTCTGTGGAACATTTAATGAATAGTCTTTTAACGAAAATAGAAGAGTGTGATCTAATATAATAAGCAAAAAAATCTATTCAAAATATGAAGTGCTCTTCATCTTTGTGACCCATGGGTTTATTGGTTTCTTTGAGTTTTCCAAGATTTAGACACAAGCGAGAATGAAACTAATTTCGTTTTTCTTGAATAATGTTGATGCATACATAAATAAAAATTCTTACTCTGTCATTTATGAAACATGGCTAGGGTATAAGCGTGAATGAAGGAAAAATCCACGTATATATTCTCAAATTGTTTTCTCATGTCTCTGTGTTAGATTACCAACTTCAGATGTAGATTCGCACAAAAGCCTCGATTTCTCGTCGACAAATCGGACATTTTTTAAAGTGAATGACCACAAGGAACACATGTCGCTCGATGTTCACATGGAATATATGCGAGACGTTTTTCTTCTGTTCAATAGAGTACACAAAAATTCGATGACGAAGCTTATTTTGTAGAATTAGTGCTTGCTGTTCTTTTCGATCGTTACAGTTGTTGATTTCAATTCGATTATTTGTTTTGTATTTGGTTGATTGGATGAAAATGATTCGTTCGATTTTGATACGGACGATGATGAACCTAATTGCAGTTTCTCATGAATATTGTTCATTACAGTACTGGATATTACGACATTTTCTTTCTTTTCATTGATATGATCTATTTGCTTTAGAAGAATTACGCAAGTAATCCATAAATCACGATCAGTAGCAAAGTCTTTTTGTAAAAAATAGATAATAAGCATAGAAATGTCCATGGCCCTCGATGTGGGGGGGCAAGCCCCCCCCCCCCCAAAGTTGAAAATCTGTTTTAGTGTCTGGCAAATTTTTGAGTATTGCTTGGCAAATTTTTGAATATGGTCTGGAAAATTTTGAAATAGACGCTGTTCGGGGGATCTTCGCAAGCTACCCCTCCTCTTGGCCCCGGTTTTGTTTTTATGGACGGAACTTTTTCCGAGATTTGGCTTATCCCTGAAGGGGGATAGGGGAATCTTTCCAAAGCTACCCCCCCCCCCGCTTGGGCCCGATCACGACTTTCTATGAAACACAGAAAGTGGCACGCTACCGCCCGCCGTCCGGTCATCAGTTTTTATGAAAAACTAGGAAATTTTCGGTAGCTATTTCTAAAAAGCTTTCGTTAACAAACTGTCCGCGAAAGTATATGAATAGTGTGTGCCCCTCCTACTCTCAAAAACAATCGAGAGCCTTGGCCAAAAAATATGAATACTGTCTGCCAACAAATTTTAGCTCCCCCCCCCCCCCCCCCCACTCCTAAAAACAATCGAGAGCCATGGAAATGTCATGAGAAGAATACACAAAACTTTTTTCGTACATGTTTTTATATTTGATAAGAAAATTTATTCATAGGTTTTTGTTTCATTCTTCTTACAATAATGAACGATTTAGAAAACTAATATAAGCTTCCATAATTAATAATTAAGGTGTAAATATTTTAATAGAGATTAAACATCATTGTTTTTTTGACAGACATGACAAATCATTTTATCAAAATCATTGAATAAAAAATTCTAATATCTACATATAAATATCTAATTTTTTTTTCAATAATTTCAATTAAATATTCGTAGTGATCGAATAATACGTTCATTATATTTATTAATATGCAATATAATGAATAGTTTTCTATTTCACCTTTGTAGTAAGATAAACAATGTGTATTCAACAAAAAAATTAATTGATTTTTATCATAGATAATTTTAATAATCTATTTTTCAAATATGATAAATCATTTGAGTCACAATCTTCCCATGTTAATTCAACAATATTGGAAAATATTTGACAAAATTGTTCTATGTGATTTGAGTTACTGAATATATATTGACTATATCCAGATATATTTAATTTTCGAATCATTTTATTTAAATATTTCTGTAAATCATTGTTATCCAATAATGATTTTAAAATATGTGGAGCAATTTTGAGAGATGATAAATTTGATGCTTCTTTTAAGATTTCCAATAATATAAATGACATTTCCATATGATGATCATTTGAAATATCTAAGTGTTTTATATTAGATAAATTAACAATCGTTCTCAAAGATTCGATATATTCTCTCAATATACTATTGTCATTCTTGTTCCACATGTATGTTGAAGAGCGCAATGTTAATGAAACCACCTTTGAAAAGCGAAAGTGATGTGAAACTTTTTTTGTTAACACTTGATCATCTATGATTAAATCTGTTACATTATCGAATGTATTGAATTGATTGACTAGTTTATTTGAATATCTTATCGAATCAATTGTTAATGTATATGTATTTAGTATATAAGGTATTGTATAGATTACTGCTGAATAGTCATGTAAGATATATTCTACTAACCAATGATGTTCTTCTTGCCAAAATTTGGTGTAAAATTGTTTGAACTTATCAAAAATATTATAATCATCTTTTCGATAAGAAATTTTAAATTTAAATTGAAAAGAAGTTAATTGAGAAAGTGAAGATATAATCAATTTTTCCCAACGATAAGCATTAATCATTTCTCTTTCATAATCGGCAGATATAAACAAACTTTTTAAATTTGGTGTATGCTTTATGAGCATTTGAAAATCTTCAAATTTACATCGAAATTCAATCATTACTAATTGTTTTAAATGAACACATTGATAATCTTTGAATTCTATTGAATGATTCCAAAATTTTTTACATTCAGAAATATTTTGACAATTAAGATATTTTAGCATCGGGACGGTTTTTAATATTTTATGTAATGAATCTAAATAGCATTTTGGTATTGTTAAATTTGTAATTGATGAAATTTGATCAATAAGTTCTAAATGCTGATACGAGTCTGTTACTGATAATATTCGTAATTTAGACACTGGACATTTAATTAGAATATTTGTAATTGAATTTTTCGGTTGAATCAAATGCAAAACGGACAATTGAGATATTAATGGTAAGATTATATTCAATTTTTCTACTTAATCTTCTTCCATATTAGTCAAAGTGAGAGATTGAAGTTGTGGAAATTCATCGAATGAAAATTGTGAAATAGAAGTATTAATTTGACTATATAAATCTGTATTTGATAAATGTAATGAATAAATGTGTATTTTCACATCAGAATTTGATAAAATGTTCTTGCAAAATTGATTAAATATCGTTCTACTCACATGTTCAAAACTGAGATACAATCGAATATTTCGAATAAGTATATAAAAACGATAATTTAATTGATCAAATGAATGAAAAATATCCAAAGCATTGAGATATTCAAAACATTCGACCAAAATTTCATTTGGTAATAATTCAAATTTCGTTATAGACATACTTGATCGATATGTTCTAATGTAAATAATATATATATATCAGTAACTACTGCAATATATATTTTTTTGACTCATATAATAAACAAAACGTTGTATTGCACTATAGAAAGAAATTACAACATAGAAATAAGAAATGATTCATCATTAATTTCGCTTTTTTCAGAGGAAATAAGCATAATCTTTTGTTTTTTACATTTACATTAGTAGGTTTTCTATAGCGTGAAAAATTAACTACAGTTTTTCGTGTCAAAACTTTTCATGGTTAGATTTCATCGTGAATTTTTCATGTCTGAAAGAAATAGAATTTATTTCTACCAATAATTAAAGATTCGACAAGCTTTTCCATGAGTTTTTTGGGCAAATCTCAGGAGAATGCAAGTTGTGGTTGCTGTTTAAGGGAACACCCTCTTTCCTGACCAAAAATTTTCAGATCTTTCGTTTTTCATTTTTTGTTATTAGTATATAGATTCAAATGCTCTCTGTCCATTGAGCACACTTTGAGAACTGAAACTCGCATCTTATATATAAAAAACTCGGAAAAAATGACAAAATATGCTGAAAAAAAATCTATACAGTATGGCCTATTGGGTTGGAAGTTTTTTTTAAAAGATAGTTCGATCAAATTTGGATGCGTGTTGCTTTTTTTCTTTCAAAACAATCTTGTTCCTAGTGAATTTTCGTAGGTACCACAAAATTAGGGTGTGGGTGTGGGTGGGAGGGTGTGGGTGTGGGTGTGGGTGGGTGTGGGTGTGGGTG